CTGGAAAAGCAGCTGGACCAGATGGAATACCCCCGGAAGCACTGAAAGCGGACCCAGAAACGACGGCAGATATGCTGACTCCATTATTGCAAAAGATCTGGAAAGAGGGAAAGGTGCCTACTGACTGGAGGAAAGGTTACCTGGTGAAATTACCAAAGAAGGGCGACCTGGGACTCTGCAAGAACTGGCGAGGAATCATGCTCCTGTCGACGCCAAGTAAAATCCTGAGTCGCATCATCCTGGAGAGAATCAAGGACGCGCTGGATACAGAACTCCGACCAGAACAAGCTGGATTCAGGAAAGGCAAATCATGTTCTGACCAAATTGCAACTCTACGCATCATCATCGAACAAAGCATGGAATGCCAATCTAACCTCTACCTCAACTTCATAGACTTTGAGAAGGCCTTCGACAGCGTTGACCGCGAAGTAATTTGGAAACTACTCGAGTACTACGGCGTACCCCAAATATTCATCAACCTTATTCAACAACTGTACGACAACGGCACATGTCAAGTGATCCACAACGGAAAACTCAGCGAAGCGTTTGGAGTAAACACAGGAGTCAGACAAGGGTGCTTATTATCACCAATGATATTCCTAATTGTGGTGGACTGGATTATGCGTCAGACAGTGGGAAACGAGAAGACAGGGATATCCTGGACCGACGTGAAGAACCTAGAAGACCTGGATTTCGCGCCTGGATGATTTATTTTTGATGTCACACAAAATCGAAGACTTACAAGCGAAAACCGACAAACTGGTCGAGGAAGCAGCCAGAGAAGACAGGACTCAAGGCGAACATAGACAAGACGGAGGTTATGAAAATAACCACCTAACCAACACCGACAGCAACATCAGCAGCAACATCCAGCGCCAATCACCATCAACGGGAGGGATATGAAAGAGGTGAGTGACTTCATTCACTTATCTAGGGAGGGAGCATTGTCTCAACTACAGGAGGAACGAACGAGGATGTCAAATCGAGAATCGGGAAGGCGACAAACACATTCATCAACCTGAAACCAATCTGGAAATCTTCGTGACTCAACTCAGCATCAACAACAAAATTCGGATTTTCAATACAAACGTCAAGCCAGTCAGTTCTTCTATACGAATGGATCAGAAACTTGGTGAGTCACCAAGAATATTTCCAACAGCCTGTTGCACACCTTTATCAACAACTGTCTTCGCTCCATACTGAAGATTAGATGGCCAGAAAGAATCACAAACAAGAAGCTATGGGAACAAACGAAACAGGAACCAATCGCCCAACAAATATGCAGGAGGAAGTGGAGATGGATTGGACACTCGCTGAGGAGGCCGCTGGGTGACATCGCGCGTCAGGCCAATGCTCGAGTGGAACCCGAAAGGGAAGCGGCGAGTGGGACGTCCAAGGGTGACATGGAGGAGATCGTGTGAGGAGGAGATGAAACAGTATGGAATAACATGGACGCAAGTGAAAAGAACAGCAGAAGACAGAAGCAAGTGGAGACGTGTAGTTGAAGCCCTATGTTCCACTAGGAACCCAAGGGAACAATAATAATAATAATAATAGTTCTTCCTCAAATAGGGACTTAGTTTCCTGATCGAGCTGGGGACGTGATGGGTTTACTGCCAGCTGTTTCCTACGTCCGTTCAGTCGTAAGCACACACGAGCGCGGACCAGTGCGTGATCGGTATCTACACACGTGTTCCAGAAGGAGCGACAATCCCCTACCGACCCACGCCAACGATAGCTTATTGTTATGTGGTCTATTTGTGTCTAGCGTTGGTTTGATGATGGAGGTCGCCAGGTCAAACAGTGTCTCTCCTTGTGTTTGAAGTTAGTGTTTACAAGAAACAAGTGATTATCTGAACAGAACTGTATGAGACGGTCACTGTTGTCGGTTCGCTGGCACGGAATTCCGTATGTGCCACCGACATTCTTCTCAGATTGGCACAATTTCCCCACTTGAGCATTAAAGTCACCAGCTAAAACGACAATATCTGAGCGTTTAGCCTTTCGCAGCAAACTAGACAGCTTTTGGTAGAATTCATCCTTCGTTTCATCCAAACTGCAGTCAGTGGGGGCGTAGGCGGAGATTACGAAAAGGCATCGGCGAGTAGTGCAGTCCTTTCTCCTTTTCACTGATCCGTTCAGACGGACAGCACACATTTGGCTATCTACCGGGATCCAGTCAAGTAATGTCTTTTCTGCCCTAGTACTCAAAGCTATCCCAACACCAGCTAATCCTCGTGAGCTAGCCGTCGCATCTCCTGACACCCTCAAGGTGAATTTTGCAGATTCATCCTGTTGGCCAGGTGGGGTTAGGTGAATAACCACACTTGGGTCTTGTATGCGTGTTTCTGAAACACAACATATATCAATGGCTCGGGATGCCAGAGTCTTGGCTAGTGATGCTTGTTGTCCTATTTGGCAAAGTGTCCTAACATTAAATGCTCCTATATGAAATTGGTGACGTGGCTTTAGGAGACTATCGATGGTGGTTTTTTGGCTTTCGTCGTTTTCAGTGCACACAGAGTGAAGAGGAAGTGAAGAGCCATCAAGTAGAGGAGTTGCATTAGTAGAAGGAAGGCAAGATAATAGAGATGAAGATGAAGACAAAGGTGAGTGAGGATTAGAGAGGTTTCGCGTGCACTTCGGATTGTGAGGGCGATTGTTACTTCCCGGCTGCCCACACCGTGGAAGTTGGTTGCGTGACCGCAGAGCCCAGGGGACAACTGCTTGAGGCCGGTCACACACGGCCTGTTTTTGTTTGTTGTTTTTCATTTGGTGTGTCTCAGTAGCGTATTTATCACTTCTGCCCTGTGACACGGCAGCAGAAAGCGCGGTCGTTGTTAATCCGGGCCCCGACCGATCCGGCATGATATTTTGTGATTTATTTGAAGTCATAGGATTGGATTGGGTGACTGCTTTTAGTCTAACCGCTATCCAAACAACCTTTCTGGCATGGTAGGACCTGCAGGAACATAAGTTCCAGCCAGTATAGCTTGTTGGGTCATTGCGGTGTTCAAGCCCGACCACCACGTCAAGGTAGCAGCTTTCGGTCGGGAATCAACTAATTAGTTCGCACGATGCTTGTAGTCTAGAGGGGATTTATATAGAGAATAAGTCAAGCATGAAATACCTTGGAATGCTTCCATCCTCTTACCTTTCTTGGTCACGCCATATCTTATCGATTTCTAGGAAACTATTCTGACTAACCTTCTATATTAAGAGGTTAAGTTAATCAAGTATCCCTCAACCTCTACTTTTATAACTCATTATAAATTATTTATATTAATCCAAGCGTGTTAAGAAAATCAAAACAAGATTTTTCTGAACGTTTCGCCGTGTAAGCCACAGCTTCTCCAGCAGATTTATTCGGATTTTCATTAATCTTGAATAGGTAGAATGGAGACAGTCAATTACAATTTGAATTTCCTCAAGTACTATGTTATACATTAATTTTTACGGAAGCCTGCTTAAAACTTGGGCTACCTAAAACCTCCATCAGTACACATTGCATAGAATTTATCCTGTTCGGTTTGTTTTAATCGAATAAAATATGACCTCCTATGGTATTATTTACTCTCATGAGTATTCACAACCTACTGATTCACGAGTTTCTAGTAAATTTGAAGAAAAGCATAATTGTGGGCGACAGCATATCCTAGTACATAAGACAACTGTTCCTAAGTTATGTCATTGGTTTTTTGAAATATACTCCTGGAATTTTTTACAACTGGCATTCAACTAAATGTCGTGCATTTCTCAAAGACGACAAAGAACAGATAACATAATGGTGGATTGGTTTGCGCTTCAAGTGTAACAGGATCTGCTGCCAATTAATATTTTCCCTGAAAATTCTGTACATTTTAAAGCACTGTTCAGAATAAAACAATTATTATTAGTAGTAGTATTTAGTATTGTAACAAGAGAAGACAAGGGCCAGGCAACAGATCGTTTATTGGGAAAATCAAGAGGTATCTATAGATTTTTATGCGTATTATTATCAGCGTTATTGTTAGCGGAGAAGCGACGTCTTTTGATTGGTTGTTTTCCTGCTGAAGGTTATTCTGTCATTTCTTTGTCACTGTTTCTTAGAAAATTAAGCCACATATCTGCGAATCGTATTTGCACACGTTAAGTCTTCTGTGATTGGTTGGTGAGTTCCTCAAAGTTAAGCTTTGTTGTGGTGCGTCGGTGGTATAGCGGTTAGGATGCTCGCGACCATGCACATGGTCCGGGGTTCGATCCCCGGCCGACGCACTCCTTTACCTCGCTAAGCCAGAAATAATGCTGGCTGGTGAAGAGGAAAGGTTGGGTGGGAGGAGGCTAGCAACCCCATCCTGTAAAAATAAACACCACTGCTACAGAAACTTCAAGCCACTAGCTTGAAGCCCTATGTTCCACGGGGAACGTGAAGGAAAAGAAAAGCTTTGTTGTTGTTTTTTCTCATGACTCCGCGATTCGGAACGTAAACATTGACGTAAATTGATGTCTGCAATTTTTATCTTGCAGACAGCTCTCACCACAATGTTACATACTTAAAGGAATGCTCTAGTCATATTTGATGTTATGATTGGCTGTTTAAACGCTGTTTTATCGATTTTTTACATAGTTGGAATATCTGTTCTGTGGCGTCTGCTGAATATATGTGCACACGAAAATACCTCACGATTTTTTTTATTTTTTCTACTGAATAAATTCTAGACAGTTCATAAATTATAATAGTTTATAGTCAAAAAATAGAAAAAAAGCACAAATGTTTCACAAATGTTCCATTGAACATTTAATAGAATGTTTAAAACAGTAAAGAAAGCTAACTAACTAAGTAACTAACACAAATGTACTAAACTATTAAAGACTTGATTTTAGTTCATACTGAAATGCTGAGAAGTAGAAATCTATAATTTGAAAGTATGATAATGATTGTAGGAATAACAATTTTGAAAAAAAAAACATGAGATAGAATAACTAGGTAAGTTAGTTAGGCTCAATAAGTGATTATCATTTTCTCTTCCTCTCTCTCCCTCTCTCGTTTTGTTCTCATATTTCACCTTTCCCTAATTCCGCAGAAGTCAAATTATACAATCATCCCTTTAATGAGGGATAATATTGGGAAATGTTTAAATTTCAACCAAAAAAGAAGGGTAAGAAGGAATCAAATCAAGTTTATTGCTGTTGAGCAATAATTTCTAACTTCAGCCGAACTCTATGCGCATCAGTGGTTCAGTGGGAGAATGCTCGCCATCAATCACACACACCTGATCCGAGGTTCGATCTCACGCCAACACACTTGTAAATAGTAAGCCCCCCCTCCACAAAAAAGAGGGAAGGTTTCTCGTGAGGTTAGTACCTCCACTTCAAAGCTCAACCTTGAGATCCCCCTACTGTATAAGAATAGTTGTATGAATGAATGTAGCCACTGTTATGCGAAACTGGAAGTTAGTCGAACAAGAAATTGAAGAACGAGTATCCTATTTTAGTAAATTTTGCACTTTTTCTAAATATTATTGACTGAATCAAGATTCTCTTTGGTGTGCTTATTCGATTAGGGTCTTACACTTTAATATCAAGCATATTTTCAGCATGTTGTAGAGGAGATCACGTGATGAGGGAATGAAAACTTGTAGGCGGTTATGGAGCCAAATGACAAAGACAAACAGAGAATAGAATAACAGATGAGCTACTGGAAAAATGCAATGCTCCAACTGGAACTCAAGGATATGCATACAATACTGAAAAGCAAATTGCATTTTGTAATGCATCAAACAACAATACATATGTACAATGTTGAGCTGAAGTGTAAGGACTGGGCGGGGGGGGGTAGCAGACGGTGAGGTGGGGTGGTCATATATGTATGTATGTATATATGTGAATTCAATCGATTTTCTGTGAGTTTCTGTGACGATGATGATGATAGTGATGGTGATGTTGATACGAAGGTCCACATAGTAAAGGCCATACAAATATAGTAACATAACAGATAATCGTTATTAGTACAAATGTGATGAACAATAGACGATCTGTTATCTTTGCAATTAATTTCCATTCATATTTAATCAATTCATGTCTCACTTTTTGTTGATCTCCTACATTAGCCTCATTGTGATCGATTTTTTCATCAATGTTTGTAGAAGTAGCATAATTATTACCAGAAGGAGTAACTGGCACATCTCCATGTACATCGAAATCTGTACTCAATAACTCAGTCGAATCCCTAATTATAGACAATGGTAGGTAGTTCGCTAATTTATTGACTTCTCTCTGTGATGACATTCGAATTGAAGAAGATTCCAAGAATGAAGCTGACATGGTTTGAGGTGAAGTGACCGTGTGATTCATCGGCTTTTCAACAGGAACATCTTGATCATTGTAAATTGAATCTAATGAATGTACTGGTGATGTCTTCTTCTTCTTCTTCAATTCATCTGATCCATTCATAAAGTCTGAGATACACAAATAATCTTGATAGATTGATTGAATTTCTTTAGTCAATTGTTCATCTTTACTAAGAAGTTGGTTCAATTCACAAAGTGCAGAGATTTGACAATTAATTTTTGCTAATTTATTCTCTTGACTAGTAGTGGAGATTGAAAGTTTTTCAATCTAAAAGTGAGAGTTTAAATTTTTATTTTTTAATACAAAAAAAAACAAACAAACAGATTATGTATACACTATTGATATAAGTATAAAACTTGTGCACTGTGGTAGAGCACAACTCCATTATGGATAAGATTTAATTTTAATAAATCACACAGTGTTGTACAGTTATATTAACTCATGATCACATTTCGAACACAAATTATTGCTCATAATCATATCAAGTTACTCACACAACTTCTTTACTTCATTTATATACATGTGTAGAATCGATTAGATATTGGAATAAAATTCAATATGAGATAATGTACATTCAGAAATAATAATACGAGTGTTATTGATCAATTACAGTCAGACGGGAAATAAGACGAGTGTTTTTATAGTCATAATAAGTAGCTTGTTAGAATGTTTTGATGTGCTTGAATTGAAATAGAATTTTAAGATTATTTATTATCCTCTTCTGATTTGACTGGCGGTAATAATATCTTCCATATTTCTGGTATTTGCATTGAGTCACTTCTGTTGCGCATGTGTTGGGTGTAGACTCGATGAATAAGGAATCTGTAATCAACCTCTCTCTCCACTTACCTATGTTGCTCTTTAGAATCTTAACCCCACCCTATTGTGTAGTTGTTTGTTAATGCACGCATTGCAATTGCTGAGCTTTTTTCTAAATTACTTATCTTGTCGGGGTCAACCATTCTTCCCTTAGCTAAATTATTATATTCTGATAATCTGACTACCCCGACCTACTAGTCTGACCTATGTAATTGACTTCACAGTGATTGCAAGGTATTTTGTAAATTATATTATTTTGTTTAATAGGGTCAACAGGGTCCTTTAACCTACAGAGCTTGTCCCTGAGTGAGTTTGTAGGTTTGAATGCCACCCTAATTCCTGCTTAATTAAGAATCCTCCGTAGAGCCTCAGATGTCCCCTCCTTATATTCCTTCCTTATTCCACACATGTATATAAGTGAAGGAAAAAGTTGTGTGAGTAACTTGATATGATTATGAGCAGTAGTTTGTGCTCGAAAGGTGGTCATCAGTTAATATTACTGTGTAACAACACTGTGTGATTTATCAAAATAAAGTCATCCATAATGGAGTTGTGAATATACTAGTTTGACCACGGATTGATATCACAATTAGAGCACCATTGAAAAGCAGATGGGAGTACTGGATAGCCAGCCGTTTCAACTAAGTTTGGGAATCATCGGCAGTGCGCACCCACACCGCGGGGTTCGAACCCAGGACCTTCTGGTCACAGGGCAAGCTAGTAGACCATTCAGCTACTGGAACCCGATTCAGTGGCCAGTGAATGAATTCTATCTTCTACCAGTTCGTGATTTAGCGCGACTGGTACCAACCAATGTCATCTGTGGGAACTCCATCCTCAACTTTGACTAGATGGACCTCACTGGTCATGACTTCTCACCAGAACTCCAAGAAACTCTGTCCAGTAGCAAGTCACTAGCGAGTATCAGATTAATTTTCAAGTGTTTGGTTTGTAAGGATTAGATTTATTTATGCGAGTTTGATTACAGATTAACATGGCCTTGTAACCGGAAGGTCCTGGGTTCGAACCCCGCGGTGTGGGTGCGTACTACCGATGACCTTCAAACTAGGATGAAACATCTGGCTGTCAAGTACTCCCTGTGGCTGGTTTTCAATGGTTCTCTAACTGATATCAATCCGTGGTCAAACTCGTATAAACAAATCTAATCCTTACAAACCAAACTCTTGAAGATTATGTATACACTGACTTACTTAGATCCACGACACTACATACTACTGACCGACTGGCAGGAGCAGTCATGTTTTGCTAGCAACCAGTGCTGATTAATGTGCGTGTTGTGGCTTATAAGTTAGGCTCCTGACCTGAACAAATATTTGTAGACATTTAATTTAACCTATTTGTACAGATTCTGGATGGGAAGAATTAGAGTCTAAGTAATTCATTCCAACCAGAATCAGTAAAGATAGGTTCAGTTAAATGTGTATATAATCGGACCAAGAGCCTAACTAGGAGGTTAGAAGGTTTAAATAATGAAATCGGTCGGTCGGTTTTCGACATAGAACTTTGCACATATGTGCGGCAGTTCAGGTCGCCACACTCCCATGTAGCACACAAAAAAAGAGAAGAAAGTAGAAGAAATGCATAATATAGACAGTAAACAGAGGTGTGAGACAAAGTAATAGTAATAACGAAGAACAAAACAGTTTCATTGGAAATCATAAGTCACAAGGAGTGGATGCATCTGCGCCATTCATTGAGAACGATTTTGAGCCATGTCACCAATTGTTTCCAACCATTGGTTTTTACCGTCCCGAGGACCCCAACCAGGAAGTCTACACCTTCCTACGTGGCTTAGACTAACTGTTGTGGATTTCATTGACTGGTGCCATGTTTTCGTTTGACCGCCACTAGCTCTTTTCCAGCCTGGCCCTATATCAGCTAACATTGCCCATCGAGGAAGGCGATGACTAGGCATACGTAGCACATGTCCCAACCATCTCAGTCGATGTAATTTCACAGTCTCTTCGACTGATTTCCCTTCCCTCCTTACCTAGCACTCGACGCCTAACCTCAATATTGCTCACCTTATTATACCACTTCACGCGGGAGATAGAACGCAGACACCTATGATCGAAGACAGCTAATCTTTTCATGTCTTCCACTCTCAATGGCCAGGTTTCACAGCCATAAAGGAGGACGGAGCGGACTGTTGAGCAGTACACACGCCCTTTGGTCGACAGTCGGATATGACGTCTACTCCAGAGACGGCGTAAACTGGCATATGCGAACCTAGCCCTCTGTATTCGTGCTGAGATTTCGTCGGAGATCAACCCGTTGGCGTTGGCTGATGGTACTTCCTAAATAAGTGAAGCGGTCAACGTGCTTTACCACTTCACTTCCTATTTCTAATCTAGGGGTCGGTGAAGTCCAATCCTGCAACATCATCTTACATTTTACAGGGGCGAATCGCATGCCAAATATACGAAGATTGCTGCTCAAGGTGTTCAGAAGACTCTGCATTTTGTCAGCGTCCTCGCCTAGAAGGACTATATCGTCTGCACATTCTAAGTCAATGAGATTATTCAGACAAATAAAGTCAAATACTACTACAAGTGAATAAATACACACCAGAATTTATTAGTGATGAAAATAACAAAATTAACAAAATTCTTTTCGATAACTTGCTCTTCATCAGCTTCTACAGTTATATGCATCCATTATAATGAAAGGATGATTGTTATTGACAACATTAGTGGTTCTTTTTTAAAAGGAGAGTAACATCGAATCATTTAGATCAGAATTCCAAAAGTTATTTTCAATTAGATTGTTAGTAGATTATAGTCCAAAGTATATTGTGTGTGTATATGGTAATGCATGAAATCTGTCAGACTGTGAGCAACCAAGTCTGAAGTTAAGTATCTTGGATTAATTATTTCTTCTGACCTATCCTGGCCTTCCCATGTCTTAGCGATTTCGAAAAGAATATTTTACATTAAGAAGTGAAGGCACTCAGGCATAACTCAACCCCTCCTCTTACAGTTTGTGAACTCGTGCATCTTACCTATTCTTTTTTACTGTTCACCCTTATTCTTTCTTGGGTTGCTTGAAAAAGACTATGTCATACTTCGTAGAACTCTGAAGGCGAATGGTATTCCATTGGGCCATATCGTTGACATTGTCACTGATTGGCACTTGATGTCATGCAACAAATTTGCTAAAGGAATTTTGTCAGACTGTGAGCATCCACCTCAGCCCCTGCAGCTCCAACCTTGTGTCTCCTCAGGTAAAACAAGAAGTCTTTTCAGAAGACTTTATGCACGTACATCTAAGTATAAAAATTCCACTATACCATATTTGGCACGTATTTTATGTGATGAAAATAGTGTCAGGCATGAACTAACTAACCTTCTTTGCAATACTAAATAAACCATTTTCTCCACCCTTATAACATCAACCTTTATTGTTATTGTACTTCTTATATTTATAATCCTCTCAAGTTTTTGTTTTTGTTTATTTATTTTTTTTCATAAGTGTGAACATCATTTAAGCTGTGTTATAACTGTTATTTTTGTCTTTCCTCTCACCATACTGTATCAACAGAACATTAGATTCAATAATCTATAACATGCTAAAATTTCCAAACTGAATCGACAATACTGTTTGAAACAAACTCACTGTTATTATTATTGTACTTATTATTCTCATTTCGTACTTGGAATATTTTTGACTTTATATCGTAATGTGGACAAATTCCTGTGGTTAATTTTATTTATATTTTGAGTAAATCAGATGCAATATTGTGACAAATGCTGAGAATTCCATTCTGTATTATAAGTACCGTCTGTTTTGGAATAAAGTAGATTATTATTATTATTATTATTAACACCAATATTACAAAGTAAATGATTATGAATGACAACGAATGTACAGTAATAAATTCTCATGTGTCATGTTAATATTAAATTCCATTCATATTGACTATAAACTTTATATGGATGAATGATCATGTCAAGGACGGGGGTAGAGAAAAAGGAATTCCATATTAGTTTGTAGAGAAAAAGGTTTTTGGGGGTTGAAATTTATCTGCATTGTATGTGTGTCATTGTGTAAGTTTACAACAATTCAATATGAACATGACTTTTAAGAATTTATCACTGTACATTCGTTGTCATTCATAATCATTTACTTTGTATTATTGGTGTAAGCGCAATATCGCTTGAAATGAAGTCATGCGTAGATAAAGGCTATCCCGGTCCAGAACAAACGAGAAGCCTGTCACTGTTTCTACGGTACTATTAATAAACAAATCAATAATTATATATATATATATATATATATATATATATATATATACAACAAACCTTAACGGTTTCAAGAGTACAAAGCACAACGCTTAACAGAAAGCAAGGTACCGCTATCAGAGCGGAATAACGTTAAAGCCAAAATTGCGAACTAGCCGGAATCAGACACGACCGTTCAGGTAGGCA